TCACACAATTCTTGTCTTGTAGATGGGGATAGGGTGCAGTGAAAACTGGAACAGAGCTTAACTCAACAATCTTCAACATTTAATTCAGGTGTTTCCTGCTCTGGAAATCAGAAGCCGCAGGGTATATAAATGGACACAATTGAATCTCTACATCTCTGACTGCCATCAAATTGGCAGGATTTACAGTTAACAATACCAGATTGACTATCTATATGTACCATATTCTCCGCCTGCTACACAGATATCAGCTGTCAGAGTTGGGTGCGTTTCAGATGGGAAGACAAGAATTGGAAAAGAAAGCTGGAGCATACGGAAATTGCAGCATCAGAAAAAGAAATGTCTATCACGCGTAGATTATACAGTATGCTGGTCTATAAGTACTATGATCTTTCACAAGACAAATCAACCACAAAAACAATTAGTCTGGCCTATGACAGATTATGGCTTACTTAAATGGATTCCCATGTTATCGAACACAATTTATGCATATATATTCCCTTTTTCAAAAATATGGAAACATCTTCCTCCTAAAACCACCTGTTCTCTAAGGAGCCTCAATCCACCAATCTGCTGCAAAAGCAGGAACACCAGAGGGTTCTTCTGCCTACAAGTGCTCCTCTGTTCATGTCAAGAAGATTTCACTGTAGACTTTTCACCTGGGGAACTCCAGTCAGGTCATGGGTTTCTGTAAAGCACCAGGAAAATGTCCGCTGATAACTTCAGTAAATGGGCAGGTAGGCAAGGAAAAAGGCACTCTCACAGGTATCTTGGTTGCAAATTATTCAGAATTTAGTACTAAAACCTTAAATCTGTCTTGGTAGCAAATGGGTAGCCGGAAGAGTTCTATAAAAAAAGGAGGCTTTTGACAGGCAGCTTTTGCATCAACTGAAAAACAGCTGATGAAAGTGTGCGCCTGCGCGTGCGCACACACACACACGACTTAAGGAATTTGAACTAAGAGGCATATTTTAATTCATGATCATCTTTCAGTTTCTGAATTCCATGAAACTCAACATGAAGGTTCAGAATCAGGAGCTAAGGATCCTTCAAACAATGATGAGAAAAATAAACTTGAGCAAAGCTATTACTTTCAAGGATGTTGCATACTGAGACGGAGGTTCAGGACAGCTTTTTTTCCCCTACAACAACACTTGTAACCTGCTTCTATACATATTTACTCAGTTACTAGTTCAATGCAGCTCATTTAAAAATAAGTATGCACAGGACTACAATTGTATTGCATACAATATTAGAATACCCTGTGACTTCTTTTTGAGGTAGTCTCTAAATATATTGCCTAAGACCAGACAATAACTTTGTTGACTATAAATGTTTTTGGTTTTCATTTTCAAGTTTGGTTTTCTTTCTTTTCCCTTTTTTTTTTTTTTTGCCAACTGGTGAAAACTAAGCTATACTTAGGTGTTTTCTGATGTACCAACTTGCAGCTCTCTCTTTCAACATCCTGTTCAAAGATTCATTCAAATCACAGTTTATGTGATTATGGGAAAGCCTTGGGTGAATTCTCCCCTCTCTCCATCTACCCTCTGGGCAAGAGAAGAGTGCAAGTACCCACTTTTCTATTAGAACAAATTACAGGTCTGCATTACATCCAAAGATTAGCTAAACCATGACATGCAATCATAGCAACATTTCCATTCATCAAAAGACATCTCCAAGACAGACAGGTGGTAGTCCCAATTAAAGGTACAGTTCTGCATGTACAGTCCTCTTCTATGAAGCATAAACTCAAAAAGCCCCTACCAATATGTTTCTCATTGCTAGTGAATGTTTTCTTGAAGATTAAATCTTTAATGACCCACTGGAAGCATAAAATTCTATAGCACTAGCAAAGGGATTCCAGGAGACCCACACAAATACAAAACAAAATTATTTTATTTTTTCTAAGCTGGACAGTGAAGAAGGTAACAGGAATGAAATGAATTCATTTGAAACATGGTGCTAGGGGAGAGCTTTGTGAATAACCTGGAATGATAGAAAGATTATCTAAGTCTAAAATCCATAGCTGAAAGAGGTGGGCATCAAAGCAGCAATCCACTGACTAAGCATTTTGTGGTGGTGATTTCTCAAATGTCCAGACCAGCCCACAGATCCAACAAAGTTGAGAAACCCTACTGTAGCAGATTGCTGTTAGCTCTGAAGAGTCACTTGGCCATCCCTGTCAAGGTTCACTAGCCCCAGATAGTGCAAGAAAGAAGGTGCATGGTGATCTCCACACATGCTTTTGCCCTGAAGAATTTGACTTACTCCAGTCTGCCAAACAACTCAACAAAACCAGAAGGGAAGGCGGCGCAATCTCAGCAGATAATGAGGGAAATTTAAACCTATGCATCCCTGCACATGGAGGTATGAAGTTAAAACAGTGCATATATGCAGAAGGTCATGTGATGATCATGTGTTTGAGTGTGCTTCTGTGCATGCATGTGCATGTGCGCATGATGTGCACTTACAAGTGGCACAGCCACATGCAGCCCTAGGGTCAAAAGGGTCAATCATTCATAATTTAGATAAAGAACTGCAGAAAAATGCACAGAATGCTTTCAATTTTCCATGGAAGGAAATATTCCTCCATGCAAGGCTATTATTAATTAGGCAGTAAAAATACCAATGACGTAAATAAATAACTCAAATGCCTTTACTAGCCAACTAATACAGAAAAAGCTTCATTTATGAAGGGCATCTAATCACTTTGGTACACTTATGACTACACACTGTCAGTGTGTATTTTGTTTATCGTTTTTCAATTTGAACACCGCATCCCTGGCAAAGAGACGCATAAAAACCCAGTATTTCCATTACGAAGTTTTCCATCCCTTCACACAGACACAAATCCAAGCCCGAAACCATCCCTCCGCTCCCTCCTTCTCTCATCTCGTTACCTGGAACTCCAGCCCGTAAATCACAGGAGCATCATCCTCCATGGCTGCAGCGGGCTAGGGACCAACAGTTGCCCGGCCGGCTTGGCGCGACCCCTGCTCCCAAATCCGCCGCGATGAGGAGCCCCGCTAGAGTCCCTGCTCCTCCCCTTCCCTTTCGAACACGCGTAGGCAAAGGCGAAACACAACAAACCCTCCACGTCCCACGTCGGCTTCCGTCTTTCTTCCACTTCCGGGGAAAGCGTCAGGCGCGCGCTCAACGTAAGAAGGAGACGGCGAAAGAGAACGGGAACTTGGCTGCGCAGGCGCAGTCGGCAGTGTCTCTTGCTTCACTTCCCTCTTCTCGGCGGCGTCTCGGAGGTGCAGTCCGAATAGACAGGGCGCGGGGCAGGTGAGTCGGCACGGAGCAAAAGCCTTCCGCTTTTCTGGGGCCTGAAGTGGGAGAGTGCGCACTCTGGCCAGTGGCGATCGGCTGTCCTCCCGTCTGCCGGTGGCTTCTTATAAGGTCCTCTTCGGTCACCGGCGAGATGGCTGTGCCGGGTCAGACTGCGAGGGGAGGCGTGCAGTTTCATACACAAAGAACAAATAAGAAATGAATAAGTGCCTCCTCGAGGAAAGCTGTCATATCAGGGGGAAGGCGTGCTAGACTACATCTCCCCTGTTCTGAAAATAATGATCTATAAAGTAGTATTCAGTCAGGTGAAAAGCAACTTCTGAAGTCTCAGGTGACACTGTCAAAAAGAGGTTTTCCGGCTCATCTGCTGTATGCAGGAGCTAGGGCCTAAGGGATCCTGGAGGAGGCAGAAGTAGTTGCCATGACATTTGTATCTGGAGATGCCAATTAGGCTGCAATTCTGCAGCTGCTGATCTCGGAGTAACTTCTATGAATTTGATGGAACTGAATGCTGAGTAGGCTTTCATAGGATCACCGGTAATCATATAAAGCAGCAGTGGTGAATATGCTCTCAAGAAAGTTTTGGTCTTCAACTCCCACCGTCCCTCACCTTTTGCTTTGCTGGTTAGGGCTGATGGAGATTACAGTTCATCAACATCTCGAGGACCACATGTTCTCCCCTCCTGCCATGATGTACAATATTTTCAGGATGCAAAATGGTTTGGTTCTTATCCATAATTAGGGAAGTAATGGTTATTCCTTTTTTGCAGATGGCTAAGTGACTTCCCCAAGGGTACTGAGACTCACCAGAATAAAGAATAAAGGTAAGTCTGATTTTTTCATGTGATGATGATGATTTTGTACTGAGAATACTGCAAAGGCCAGATACAATCTGTGTCTCATTTTTGTTTCCTGGTAGTTTGCTCTAGAGTAATATTCCATCTCTTGGTTTCATTGTAGGAAAACCAGTACCTCATTAAAGAACTAGTGACCTTCACATAAGCCAAATGTCCTCAAAGAGTGGCCTTGGTCTGTTTTATTCAATATCAGATTTTTTGCTGTTGTCTAAAAAAACCAAAGTGAAATCGCAGAGTCTTCAGTAAGCAGCAGTCTACCCACTTTTTCAACAGCTGAGCATATACAGCGATAGTGCTATGTCTTGCACAAGCTTACTGTCCTCAGATTCATGAATTAGGAGAATTAATGAGAAGTTTGGGGGGTTTGTTTGCTGTCTGTGAGAGAAATTTGTCCCTTCTGGCAAACAGTTCAGCAGTAGGCAAAACGTATGTGCTGGAATTTTCTTTTTCAGGTGAAAATGAGAAAATCTATGCTGCACATGCATTTGAACTGCACAGATTGGCACTGAACCTATCATCTGTACATTTTTGGTTCTGTCTTCTACTTCTTATAGAGGGAGGTGAGGAACCAGACATGATTATGATAGTGAAATAATCCATGGGTTATAACTCTAGATTGTTTCTCCCTGAAAAACCCAGAGTTTCAGATTCAGATATTATAGAGAACAATCCAGGGTCAGAGTTGTTTAGCATACTTGTAGCAAGTGGATAGTTGTTCCTGAACCATGGGTTATTTCATTGGGTGAACCATGTCATACTGTATCTACTTGGCATCTCCAATGATGAACAGGGAACAAAGAAGAAGAGGAGCTTTGGCTATTGAGCAGTATAAAAATGAAATAAGTAAAACAAGAAATGTCACAGAGAGGAAGAGAGTGAGTAGATAGCTTCCCACAAATAATTATTGTAACGCAGTGGCACTACTAGGCATTTAAATGCTTCAAGACCCAAGCTGTTAGGACACAAATCTGGGCATTAATATCTACATTGCCTTTTAACATATTACATAGCAATGAAAGTAGTTAAAGCATGTGGGAAGGGGAGAATTAACCTTTGCTTTCTATTGCATATTAAAATTGCCTCCTCCATGGCAGTTAAGCTGAGTCAGAATCCTACCATTGGCATGAATGGACACCCAAGGCTTTATGGGAAAGATCAGGTTCCTGGGAAATTATTTTGGGGCACCATGGGTCCAAGTCTAGCAATATCCCTGTTAGAGGCTAAGATGATTATACAATTCTTCACATACTTAACATATGTGACATTATTCTTCACATAATTTACTCTGTGGGTCTTAATTCTACTGGTAGCATTTATTTCCCATTCATGTGGTAGAGAGTGGGATGTGGTGGTTAGAGTTTTGGACTGGCAATCTGAGAGATCAGTGTTCTAGTCCCAACTGAGACATGAACCTCACTAGTGACTTTGAAGCAGGACATTCGCTCTCAGTCCAAGCCACCACACAGGTTTGTTGTCATGATGATAAAATGAAGTGGAAGAGTACTATGTAAGCCACCTTGTGTGTCTCACAAGAGGAAAAAGGAGGTATATAAATGCAATGTAATAATAATAGATGTTTAAATGCTAGAGCAAAGCATATTTATTTTTATCAAGTATGTATGTGGTATTAGGAAAATATCTTTCATGATGGTCTGCCATTGTTTTTCTTGTTTATCTTATCCATACAACTATCATTTGGTATATGCATCACTCACTTGGTTACCACTTTAGCACATATTTTATTCTCAAAATTGTAGAGCTGTGAATGTTAATCAAAGTTGCTGTCAATTGAAATTGTCCAGAAGATTCACTGCATCCTCCAAAAGTACTCATCAATTGGAAATTCCTCTAACAGCATATTTTCCGTATTGCTTTCCTCATATCATTTCCTGTACCATTGTTGATACATATTTAGCATGTTTTACTCCAAAGTTCCTCAAATAAGCTGCCAATCTTTTCTCTCATTTCAGTGTAGAAAGTCAAATATTAACTATTTCTGCAGGTTGCCCTAAATATATACCCTTTCTATAATATGCCAAGTTGCCACGAGGAAAAATAGGCAAAGTGTCTCCTATTAGAAGAGTAAACCTATGTATTTTAAGTTGGTAGTTTGGCTTTTTTATGCTTCTGCCCCTGTATTGAGATCTACTGTCACCATGATTTGTCAAAATTATTTTGCAAAACAATTGCAAACATCCATGATCTCGAAGGTCTGACAGATAGTACTTGCACTGGCTAAATGTCTTACCTGCTGTTGTTTCCAGGGGCCGAAATAAAGTTGCACAACACAATGCTTTCCAAAATAATTATTCAAACAGTTGAATGTCTGAGAAATAGCCCCAGAAGGACATACCTTGGTACAAGTGTATACAATTAATTTGGTTGTGCAAACTAAGTCAATAAGTCAGCAGTAAGACTGCTGTGCTTGAGCAAGGGAAGAAGATGTTTAAGAATTTTGCATTCCTTGACAAATCTGCCTGAAACTAGCAGGCTTTTTATAAGAGCAGCGTTCTTTTTATAAGAGTTGAGGCAATAGAAATTCACTCCATGTTTATGTACATTAATTATTGATGGGATGCATGGTCCCTTTAATTGAATTTGTGAAGCTGCTATGCATCCTATTACAGATATTGGTTATTTTAAATTATTGTTGAGGATAAATCATGCTGGATCATATCAAGAGTCTATCTAATCCAGCATGCTGTTTACACAGTGGTCAACCAGCAGCCTATGGGAAACATTGCGCTGGCAGGAATATCTTAAGCTGTTGCAGTCACTTTGGATCTTCCTCTACTGTATAAGGGAAACGGACAATGAACAATGTACATCTACCATAAAAATTAATTTCGAAAGTAGCAATGACAACTCGTTGCTAAGTGAAAGTTGAAAAATCTTGTACCTCAATATGCCACCTTTCTAGTACATAACTTTATCAGAGTATCCAACATGTTCAATACAAGTTGAAGAATATTCTCTTATAGCAGGTAGAATTTGCATTAGCTTGAGGGAATGGTGAATGACCCAATAAGATTTCAGCTCATTAGCTTTAGAAACAGAAGCTTCAAAATATGGTTATGATTAATTATAATAGTGGCAAGATATATACTTATCCCAAAAACATAAGTTTCCAATTCTTAAAATTTTGTTTATGACTGTATAGTAATGGCTCAGAAATATCAAAACGGTACATGGAAGCTTTCTCACATTAATTTTCCCCACTTGGATACTTTATAAAGACAGTCTTTAAGAGTGCTTTTGCATATTGAGGAAATAATAAAAGAAATAACTAATATAAAAATGGGGAAATCACCTGATCCGGATGAATTTCCACTTGAGTGGTATAAAATATTTTCTAGCTTTTTAGTTCCTAACTTTTGTTTGTATAATTTTATCTCTGAATTGTGTTCTTTCTTGTCAATGCTTAAAAGATATTTAAATTTCTGTAATTTCTAAACCCAATAGAGTTCACACTGATTGTGCTAATTACCAAACTTTATGGACTAATTCTGATATTAAAATATTAACCATAATGTTGACAGTTGGACTGCAACACGTTCTTACAATATTAGCTTAACCAGATCAGGTTGGGTTCATTAAAACAATCAAGAACCACCAATCACAGATTGGTTGCTGATCTGATTGCATTAAATAAAGAACAGATACAATTATGATTATTTCTCTGAATGTGGAGAAGGTATTTGATAAAATTTATAGGAAATTTATTTTTGCTACGCTGAGAAATTTTCCTGTAGAATTTCAGAAATTGGTTAAAATTTTTGTATTCTACCCCAAGAGCTAAAGTCAGGACCAACAGTTTTTGTCTCCCTTGTTTTGCTTAGTTTTGTTTTTACTTGAGAAGTACCAGAGAGGAATGCCCTCCCTGTCCACTGATATTTGCTCTATGCTTGGAACCTCTGGCATGTGCTATGTGACAGAACCCTGATATTCATGGATCCATGCATAATTCCTTGAAATTTAAACTTTTTCTTTGTGCCAGTATCTTTTCTTGTTTATTTTGCAACTTTACTCATCTGTTCTGGCTTTGATAGAGATGATAAAACATTTACATATTTATCTGGCTACTATATTAATTGGTCAAAAGTCTGAACTGAAGCTGATTGGAAATGTTATTCCCCATAGTGGTATAACTGGCAATCAGATTTTGTTCAGAGTTGATTGCTTACAGTTATGTGGAAATACTTGTCCCTAGGGAGAAGGAGAACCTTGTTAGCTGCCTTGGGTTCCTTGCAAGAGAAGAAAGGAGGATATAAATGTGAGATGATGCTGATGGATATATACCTCAAATGATTCAGCTAAATTTGTGTAAATTGGTTAATGATATCTCAAGAGATATACATTGATGGACATCTTTAAAGTTATGTCTTTAATTGTTTAAGTTTTATTTATTTATTTAAAACACTTCTATGCTGCTCCCATCGCAACAAAGCCTCAGGGCGGCTCACAACATAAATAAAACATATAAATATAACAATTATACAATTAAATTAAAAACCCCGGTGACATCTCGGCTTAAAAATTTTAAAATCCTCTAAATACAATAAATTAACAATTAAAATATGTTTTAAATAAAAATGTCTTAGCCTGGCGCCGAAAAACAAATAGCGATGGCGCCAGGCGGACCTCTCTGGGGAGCGCTTTCCATAGATGGGGCACCACTGCAGAGAAAGCCCTCCTCCAGATACTCACCCTCCTAATATTATTCACAGAGGGTTCCCAGAGAAGGGCATCTGCTGCCGATCTCAAGGGGCGGGAGGGCATATATGGACGCTTTACATGGTATTCCTCTACTTATACCTGAAAAATATTTCCAGGAACTCAATGCTTTGTCTTGCAAATTTCTCTGGGGTTCCATTCTGCTATGAATGTCTTTGAAAAGGAAGCAACTTTCCATTAAAGAAGGTGGATTCAATTTTCCTGATCTTTCTTTATATCATTTTAGGTATCTGTTGACTATACTTTCCCCCCTGCTCAGATGAGAATTCTTTCCTTGGTCAGCTTTGGAAATTTAACATTAGGATTCTCTTCCCAAATGAATTATATTAGTTTTTTGGTACACCTAAACTGATAGAGTAGGTCCTAGGGTGGATCTGATTACATCACTTTTCAGTAAGAGTAGATTGAAATCATGGTTTTCTACATAATTTGCACGCATGCCTGCCTTACCTTTAGGCAGAGGAACTTCATTAAGATATTCCCAAACTGGGTTTCTTTTATGGCCTGCTGCCATAATAGGTTTTCTCCAAGGAACGAATAATATGATAAACCTTAGGCTATACCCCAAAAAATCCAGTATTCTGCTCAAAAGTTCCACTTTCATTTTTATTGCTTGCACCTTCCTCCTCCCCCTTAGCTTCTTGCACAGATCTATTCTGCTCCCAACAATCTTTTATTCATTGATTTTTTTAAAAAAACTTAGCAATTAAAAGGTAAGGGGTTGATTCTTTGTACAAAGATTTGCAAAGGAACAACTCTGCATGCTTAATACTAGATATTTCATTTATTGAAAAGGCAATATAGAACCCCATACTCCTGCTTTATGCATAAGTAATTCTATCATTCTGTATTGTTTAGTAACATTCATATTTCCTTCTATTTCTTTTCTAGAACAATTATGGAGAACAAAGAAGGTGATGTTGAAGGAACCAATATAATAGGTTCAAATGCAGTAGAAAGAGTGTGTGCCATCCAGAAGCAAGCTCAGGAAGAACTTATTTTTCATGAAGAAACAATTGATCTTGGAGGAGATGAATTTGAATCTGGGCAGAATGAGACAGTCATAGAAGATTCTGCTAACTTCATAGATAAGCTTAATGAGCACATGATGGAGAGCGTTGTTATTTCAGATTCTCCAAATAACAGTGAAGATGATACTGGTGATCTTGGTTGTCTGCAAGAGATTGTAAAGCAAATGGAAGCAAAAGATATTCAAGTTGAAGAAGGTGAGCTGGGAAAAGAAGTTTCCGACAAGAGTGAAATGAAGCCTGAAGATGTCCCCACAGGTATTTCTAATAATGGAATTGATGATCAATCCTCTTCAAAAGAAGACTTGAGGCAAGAGCCAGCAAAAGATGAACTGGAGATGGAAAGTGATAAACTGTGTAACTCTGTATCAAATATTGACTATAAACCTGAAGAGACTGTATCCTCACCAGTAGTCAGCAAATCACCTGTTGACTCTGAACCTATTCCTGTGTGTACGATTTTCAGCCAAGGAAACCGCATGAATGATCAGAAACAGTTTCTGCATGATGGCTTTGAGCCTCAAATGGTGAAGTCACCTAGCTTGGGGGGTTTAAGTGAGGCTCCAGCAAAAGCATATCCACAGGTAGTTCAGCCTAGTCCAAGCCTAAGCAAGTTTTTTGGTGAAACCATTAATACTAATACACTAGCTTCTGATTTCTTTGATTCCTTTACAACATCCTCTTTTATTTCTGTCAGTAATCCTAATGTAAGCTCCTCAGTACCAGAACAAATGTCTTCACTTATATCAGTTGGGGAGTTTCATGACACTGTTGACCATAAATATTCTGTTAAAAATGGAAGAGCTGAAGCTGGGAGATCTGCATCTTCACCAGAAATATCCCAATCTCCTAAGCCATTTTCTCAGATCCAAGCTGTTTTCCAAGGTGGTGACGATCCTTTTGCTTCTGTGCTAAATATGAGTGAAGTGGACAGAAGAAATGATGCCTGGCTTCCTAGTGATGGAACTAGGAATGTCTTGATTTCAGTAGCCACACAGCAGTACAGTAATGTTTTCATTGACAAAGAAAATCTTACAATGCCAGGATTAAAATTTGACAACATTCAGGTAAGAGACTTCTCTTGCTTTTGCAGCTTGGGATACTATGGCTAATTAACTAAATGACATGTACAATGTACTATTTAAAAAAAAAAAAAAGACAGGATGCTGTGTTAGTTCATAAGAAAAATGTCAAAATCCCCCTCATCCCCACACAATACCTTGATACAGGGGAGCAAGGGGCTCAGGATGAAGGGTGGCAGACTCAAGCCCAAGCCCTTTAGGTTATATAGCATAGTAGAATAAGATTTCAGGAGAACGGGAAAGAAAAAAGTGTTCCTTGTGAACTTCAGGTGGTGCTGTGTGGCCTTTTCTCCAAGCTGGTTGGAAGTCAGGACAGAAGCACTCCTTTTAGGTCTTGGTGACACTCGCATTAGAAGATGGTGCTAGAAGTCTCTGGAGCTTTTCACTCAGTTACCTATTTGCATTCAAAGATCACGGTTAACCACTTTGCAAATAAACTGCCATGGTATGGAGATTCCCTGAACAACCCACAGTTGTCCCAGCAAGCTATTGGTTTTAATAGTATCAATCACTAATTTGTAAGGGTTGGAGAAAATGTTCATCCATCCTGCCTAATCTTGGAAGCTAAGCAGGGTCAGGCCTGGGCAGAAGTGGGATGGGTGACCTGAGTGTATGATTCTATGATTATTGCTGTCAACTGCCTAGAGAGCTTTGGCTATGGGCAGTATAAAAATGTAATAATAATAATAATTATTATTATTCCAGTGGCTATGGCACATACCGCAGGTGCCATTGTAGCAGAACTCATTACCTCAGTGCCTGTATCAGCACCCTTTTCTTACTATGTGGGAAAGCCTATTCCCACAACTTCAGCATGCCCAATTAAATTAACTTGATGAGCCCTTAGGAATGTGATAACACATTTGCCAATTTATTTTGGAAAGACTGTTCACTAAGTCCATCTTTTCCATCTTTAACTATGTATCCCCTCATTCCCTCTTCCCCTCTCACATTTATATTACTAGCTTGCAAACAACTCTTTTTACTTTTTCTATATTTTAAAGGGCTGCTGTCAAGTAAGCACACTCAGTCTCAAAGTAGGAACACCTTCTGGCAAAGCACCTCCTGTCCAGCTGCATTTGGCTACCCACTCTCCTCCCCTTCTGCTTGTTGCTTTTCCCCTTCTAGCTGTCACAACTTGATATGGGTTACAGACAAGTGAGCCAAACATAGGCAAATGCAGTGCTGTTTTTGTCATGGAACACACCGGAACAGAGTTCCAGCACCATTTTTCGACAGATTTTCCAAGTTTTAAAAGTAACTTTTGAAAATTTGATGTTTGGTCCACGTGGATTTGAATCACCCTGTTGAGCGTAGCAGGTCGGCAGCAAAATCATTAAAACAGTGCATGTGGGCTGTTTGTGTGTCGAATCCAATGCATGCGTACTTTGTCCGCGCTGGTTGTGATGGCGCTGCTTGGCTTGTGGTGCTGCTTGGCTTGTGATTGGTCGTGTGGTCGCACACCGAGTGCTTACTGCGGGCGGTGACTGTTATGTTTCGTTACACAACTGACGTGTGTGGGTGTGTGTACACTGACTGACTACGTGTGAAAGGTAAATAATTTCATGAGTTCCGGCACCGTTTTTCTTACAAAAAAAGCACTGGGCAAATGTCATGACAAAGCAGTATCACAGAAGAAAAAATTGCTGAAATGTAAAAGCAGTTGTCAGCTAAGAAGCGATGAGGGAGGACCACAATAGCAGAACAGAGATTGCTAGAAATGGCAGGGAGGTTTGCTGCTCTGGCCAGACTCTGACTGTTCCCACCAACCCATGCTAAAATCACCTTCCCATACTGGGGCAATGCAGCAAGCCACCATCTGTTTGAACAATCCTAAAAAAAGCCATGGGTTCTCAGAGAGGCTTATTTGTGGAAATAAGGAAATAAGCCATGTTGCAGAGACTATGCTGAGTTCATATGACATAGCAATCCGCTAGACCTGATCACCCACGTTGCATTGTCAGGTCATGAACCATGTGTACCTGAATAAGCTGCTCCCTTCTGTTCCTGGCTGGTGAAGAGAGCCATAAAACTCAGCAGTCCACTTGATTAATCCTATTAAAAAGTCATTGCAATCTCCTCTCAGATATTTTATGCATTACCACATAAATTTCAAAACTCTTTTGTAGGAACTGTGTGACGTTAGTAGCCCTCACATTGTTCTTCCTTTTCCACCCTTGCTTACATGGTTAGACCCACCTGAGGTCCACCTCCATTCCTAAATGACAAGCTGCTGCTGTAGATTTGCGTAGTACCCTGCAAAATCAAAATGTTACTGAGCAATTTGTTGGCCCTCATAAAAAAGCTAGTTGGAACTGCAACCTGTCCTATTCCCTTATTGCAAGCAGGGATAGAGAATAATAGTATCAATCACTAATTTGTAAGGGTTGGAGAAAATGTTCATCCATCCTTGGACAAACCCTGGACATTGACTTGACTTACGGATAGGAAATTGAACCCTACTGGATGTTGTCAGAATATAGCAACATGTTGCTCATTTGCTATCTGAACACACATGAATATAGTACTTGGGAAAACATGGAAATGTTTTGGACAAACTGTGGTGGAAAAATACGCCTTATTAAGTATGCATGGAATTTTCTTTGGTGTTGTTTGAAGGATAAGAAAATGCCAATTTTAATGACTCAGAACCTGAATTCCCAAGAGCATAAGTGAATCAGTTCCACTCATACGTAAGTGTGCCTAAAATACTTTCCGTTGCAACTGAGTTCATGGTTCAGAAGTTATTAAAGTTAACATACTCTGGAGCTTTGTGTCTGGTAGAATGCCTGTGGTTGTGTCTTATGTGTTTTGGAGTAACTAAAAAAAGTGCATAGATTAAAAAAATAAATTAGAAACGTCATCCGTCAGGACCTGTTACTGCAGGTTTATAAGAAAGCCCTGAAAACACAATTTTACTCTGGCCTTCTCCTAATAAGTTTACTGTTGTTGCTGGAGAAAGAGGAGGGGTATTGCTGCTTTTATTGGTTTTAATACCACATCAATTTTATTATCTTTTATTATTGTTGTATGTTGCCAGGGCAGAGGGTCCTCCTACCTTGAAGGGCATCCAAGTAATATTTTAAATAAATATATTTATAACACCTCACAATCTCAGGCACCATATTGTCTTTATGTTAAATTCTGTACTGTCAAGTGACCTTTTAGATGGTCTGCATCTAAATAACATAAAAATATATAAAATTAATTAGTTTTAGTTATTAACATTTATTAAAGTTATTAAAATGGCATTATTTTGCTCTTTATTTGAGTCCCTTGTTATCCTTCCAGTCATTATCATTCTTCAGCTCCTCATTCTTCAGCTCACTCCTTTTAGCTCAGATCTTTAAAAAAAATGACCTCTTTTGAGATGTGGCAGCTAATTTTCATTCTTTAGTTCCATTTGTTAGCTACGAGGGGTGTTCAATGTATTCTCAGTATCCGCATGAAAAAAAAGGAATAATAAATTGAAATAATTTTTATTTTTCAATGTAATCCCCCATAACTTCAATACACTTATTACATCTAGAAATTAACTTTTCAATTCCCTGTAAAAAATACCCTTCCTCCTTGTCTAAAAAATGTGTGTTAATTGCTGCCTTGAGCTCTTCATCATCAGAAAATCGCTTTCCACGAAGATCTTTTTTTAAATTCAGGAATAGGTAGTAGTCACTGGGGGCCAGGTCCGGGCTATAGGGTGGATGGTTTATTTCTTCAAAACCACAGTCTTGCACAGCAGCCTTTGAAACACATGCTGTGTGAACAGGCATGTTGTCGTGAAGAAGCAACACACCTGCGGTCGGTTTTCCCCACCTTTTTTCTTTAATTGCTTCTCTTAAATTATGCAGAGTGGTTGCGTAAGATGCTGCGTTTATGGTTTCACCTTTTTTCATGTACTCGATCAATAAAATTCCCTTTGAGTCCCAAAACACTGTGGCCATGATTTTTCCGGCCGATGGAGTGACTTTGAATTCCTTCGGAGGGTCAGCACCTTTTTTATGCCACTGCATGGACTCCTGCTTACTTTCAGGGTCATAGTGATGAACCCAAGTTTCATCTCCAGTAACAATCCGGTCGAAAATACTTGATGGATCTTCACCACAGAGCTCTAAAAACTCCCTATAGCACTTGACTCGCACGTGTTTCTGAGGCACCATGAGCATTCGTGGCACCCATCTTGCACAGACCTTTGACAGGTTAAGATGGTCATGAAAAATAGTAAATATGGTACCAATGGATAGGTTTGTCATCTCTGCTAACATTTTGATTTTTTAAAAAATAAGTTTTATTTGAAATTATAATCCTAAAAAATCAAAAAGAAAACTACAAACAACATCCATCATCAAAAACATCGAGTCCGCTGGGTCAGCCCCCACACCTTTCTTTTTCCATTTATGATAACTTAAATACATATTTAAATCTAAGCCAAGTCCTGTTTCTCTAGCCAATAATAAAAAGAGTCCCGAGTTTGATAGAAGTCAGTATCTTCTTTCTCCTTCAGTGATAAAGTCAGTCTATCCATTTCTGCACAGTCCAGAATCTTTTTTAGAATCAGTTTATTGGTGGGTAGTTCCTCACTTTTCCAGTGTTGAGCGAATGCAATCCTCGCCACAGTGATTACATGTAAAATCAAATACTTTTCTTGTTTACTAATGTCCTCTGGTATAATGCCTAATAAAAAAACGTCAGGTTTAAAAGCTAAGGATTTTTGTAACATTTCCTCGAGCCATTTATGTATTTTAATCCAATACTTTTTCACATTATCGCAAGTCCACCACATATGATAAAAAGTACCCAATTTATGTTTACATTTCCAACATCCATTTGACATATTTGGAAACATCTTAGCTAATCTATTTGGCAACAGATACCATCTAGAAAACATTTTATACAAGTTTTCTTTATACGAAGTTGCTAATGTTACCTTAATATTTCTCTCCCACAGCTTTTGCCGCTTTTCTAATTCAATATTATATCCAAAATTTTGTGCTCCCATTATCATAGTTTCCTTAACCTGTTCATCTTCCATTTTCCTATCAAGTAAGAAGTCATATAATCTTTTAATCATTTTCTCATCTGATTTAAGCATCACTTGATCAAATGCTGTTAAGTCCTTATAAAAACCCCACACTTTACAATCTTTAGCATATCTCGATTGTATCTGCACCTTATGCCACCAAGAGATATTAGATCCCTGCTCTTGTGTTTCTTGATTCAATTTCAGGCCTCCATCCTTATCCCAAATATCATCATATCTTATAATTCCTTCAAAGTTCAGTGCATTTGGATATACCAAAGCTTCCATGGGTGAAAGCCATCTTGGTAATTTATTATACAGTTTTATTTTTAACTTTTCCCACATCGACATTAATGATTTTCTAATATAGTGACTTTAAAAAGAGCCATGTGACTTAGCCTTCTCATACCACATATAAGCATGCCAGCCCATTTGCAAATCATGCCCTTCTAACAGTTTCTCAATTTTTTTCACATTTTATTTCATAGTGGCAGTAACCGGCCCGCCTGAGCAAGGGTCGTCTTCAATGCTTTCTCTGTCCCTTTTAAATTCACTTGACCACTTTTGAACAGTAGATAATGAAGGTGCAGAATGCATGGATTCTCAAGCATGGAGTTCCTCAGGTGTCTGTTCTGTCCCCCATCCTATTTAAGATCTACATGAAACCTCTGAATGGGTCCATCTGGAGTGTTGGAGTGCATTGCCATCTGTATGCTGATGGCATGCAGCACTCTCTCTCCTTTTCATTGTCAGCAAATGAGGCTGTGGAAATGCCTAGTCAGTGTCTGGCTGCAACAATGGTCTGAATGAGAGTGAGCAAACTGAAGCTTAGTCCAAATGAGAAATGCTGTTTCGGGGGGGGGGGGGCTCCTCTGACTCGATGAAGGAACCATTTCAACCTGTTCTAGATGTGATTGCACTCTCCCCAAAGGAGCAGGTTTTTAGCTTCAGGTTTCTCCATGATCCATCTTAGTTGAGGCTCAGATGGTTTCAGTGGCTCAGAGTGCCTTTTACCATCCTCAACTGGTGTCCCCACTACACCCTTTTCCAGGCACAGATAGCCTGGTTTCCGTAACCTTTGCTCTGGTAATTGCCAGATTTCATTACTTCAGTACACTCTGTGTGGAGCTCCACTTGAAGACTCTTCAGAAGCTGCAACTAATGCTGAATGTGGCTGCCATATTAATAACTGGAACCCACAGGTCCAAACATATAAGACCTGCTCTGCCCCACTTGCATTGGTTGCCTGTATGCGTGTGGACCCAATTCAAGGTGCTGGTTTTACCCTATGAAGCCTTACATGGCTTGGGACCACAATACTTGTACCTCTCCCAGTCTCAATCTGCCTGGACACTGTGCTCAACATCTAGGGCCTCCTTCTGAGAACCAACTCCAAGGGTGGCTTGGAAGGCAGCAAGAAGAAGAAGAGCTATCTTCATGGTGGCCCCCATCTATGACATGCACTGTGGCCCACATGGCTTCAGTCTTGTCTTTTCAGTGCCAGGTTAAGATAGTTAGTTAGTTAGTTAGTTAGTTAGTTAGTTAGTTAGTTATTAAAACATTTTTTATGCCGCCCCATTCGCCGAAGCCTCGGGGCGGCTTACAACACTAGATAAAACAATAAGTTAAAATATCCATATAAAATAATCATAATTTAAAACACACATTATAAAATAAGCCGCCCTGGCCAAATAAAATTCAGTTGTGTTAGCATTTAAAATGTTAAAACCTTTTATGCCAAGGTTTTTAAGGAGATACTTGGTTTTTCAGGGGCTTGAGGGGATTAGCCACCCCTGGTGTTTTTTTACTGGGTTATTCTTTACTGTATGTTCTAACTATTTGTAATTTTTACATTTATTTTGATAAGATTTTATAGAATCTGTGTTGTATTTCATTGTATTGTTTAATATACTGTTGTAAACCTCCCAGAAAGCTTTGGTTATCAAGTGGTATAGAAATGTATGTATGTTCCAGTATACCACATTTACTGTGATATAAAAGTTTATAGAAATTTTTATTAGAATGCTTGTAAAACAAGAGCCAGTATGGTGTTGTGGTTAAGAGCACAGAAATGGGACTCAATCAATCTGGTTTCTACCATGGAGAGCCAACCATGGAGCCAACTGGGTGACTTCCAGTCACAGACTCTTAGTCCAACCTACCTGCCAGGGTTGTTGCTGTGGGGTAAGATTAAGAGCAGGAGAAGGAGGCTGGTGTAAGCTGCTTTGAATTGTTTAAAAAAGAAAAAGTCAGGATATAAATCTTATAAATAAATAAAATAGAGCAATAGCATGTATTTTTCTTACATTTTAAAATGTCAGAAAAGCAAAAGGAAATGAAAACTGTTGACAAATTTGGCTACCCAAAGGAATAGGCTTGATGTGCTGCCAACCACTCATCCATTTCAACAGGATTCAGCTCTCTTCTACTAAGGTTGTTAGAGCACTTCCAGTTTCCTTGTTATTACTGGTCAATTTCACTCTTGAGATTTGTATCTATATCAGTGACACGCATGTATTCTCTCACATACTTGCTAAGGATCATCACCTGAAAAAAACTTGCATCATCGAAGCTGCCAAACTTTCCTGCTTTTGTATTTACAATTGACACCCCTTTTTTATTAATGAACTTATGAAACAGATTTTTTTCCGTTTTGGAACAATCTTTACCCCACATCACAGCGCCTGCCTTTGGTTCTGATCCGTATCTCACTAGCCATTTATGTGTGGAGTAGGGGACCTGTGCATTTAATAGTAGAACTACAAAATTACATATGTAGTTTGACTCCCGGAAAAGGCAAATTAAGATATGCTGAGTTTGGGAAATTTATGTTCCCTGAGTTTTTATGCAGGGGTCTCACCATTGCCTTCCTGGAGTGGCAGAAAATGTATTCTGCACCAAAAGGTGCTTTGAGCTCCACTCTGATCAGCCAGGCTCCCCTGGCTGGCTGGCTGTTACTAGTCACAAAGGTTAAGAGTTAGGCAAGCAGTGGACCAGGGTTCTTCAAATAACATGCAGAAATTAGAGGCTACAGATCTTAAAGCCAGTGTGGCATAATGCACTTTTGGGGACAAGGAAAGTACCTTCCTTTCTGCATAACAGAACATTCGAGCTATTTTAACTGTAAGTAGTTATTAAAAGTTTTCTTTTCTGAACACAAGAAGTGCTAGAATTAGTCTCAGATCCAAGGGCATCATTGTACAAAAGAGTTCAAAGTACATGAGAAATATACAAAACACCTTGTGGTCAGGTGGAATGTTGCACTATCTCCAATATGTATCTTTCACATTTGCATTTTTTAAAAAGCACTTTGCATAATGGAAACTTTCAGTGAGAAATTCTTGTATTTTTCCCCCATTAGGGTGATGCAGTAAAGGATTTAATGCTCCGCTTCCTTGGTGAACACGCTGCAATGAAAAGACAAGTTCTAAATGCCAACTCTGTGGAACAGTCTTTTGTGGGTTTGAAGCAGCTGATTGTAAGTAACTGTGTCTGTTCTTGGTATTTATTGAACACTAGGTTTCTTCTCTAAATAGTGAGTTGCTGAAGGTCTTAATTCATCTGTCTTAGAAATGAGGACTTGAAAGTCATATGGTTCAAGTTCTGCATTTCATATTTAACTATTCCAGTGATTAGTCCAGTGCTGTCAGAATTCTGGAGATGGAAATTTACATCCTAGCAATCTTCACATGGCCAGAACCCCAAACATATCTCATTACTTCTGCCTTTCATCCAACAACACTGGCTGCTTTTCCTTCACATTTCTGCATCCGTATAATTGATCCTCTGTCCAGCTTAATGTGCAATACCTAGAGCTAATGTACTGGCTTCTTCTGCTATCACTACCTGCTTCTTATCCAGAGCTGCCTGAGCCCTAGCCTAAGCTGGTGGTGGGCTGCAAGATAAACATAGAGCAAAGCATACTACTGTACCTTTCCAGCATAGTAATGGCTTTTTTTAAACATTCAACACTTGACAGAAAGCCAAAGGTTTTGCCACCTGTAAATCAGGCTCTGCTATTCAGTTGTCACTTTCACAGTTATACAGAAATAAAGAATATGCAGTAGCAGAGGTTTGTTTGATGCAGTACATTTAATTTGGACCAGTGGGTTTATTAGGAATGTAGAAAAGTGTATTTTTCATTCAGTTTACTCTGATAGGTCGCAACTGTCCAGGATCTCCCCAGTGTGCTCTTTATCTCCTGAATCTTGTAACTGAAGATCACTGGAATTAAAGCTGAGTTTCTACACACACAATCTATGTACCACTGAGCTGTCACTACCCAAAGATGAACCCAAATGTTTGGACTGCATTACTCCATGCACGAAGGAGGAAGCTGTAAAAATTGTGTAGTGTCACCCATATAGAAGACTACTTTTTTGTCTCTTGGAAATTCAGTGTGTAATCTTCAGCTCAGAGGTGGAAAGACCACAAAGAGAGCCATCCTACATATAATTATACACTGAAAAATTCCTGTATTCAGCATTTCTCAACCATCCATGCTCAGGGTTATAGGACCTTTTTTGCCAAAGCATACATAGGATTCTGCCTTAAATTTTGTCCAAATAACAATCGCCTGGTGTCTAAATACCAGTAATTTTGAAGTCACAGTGCCTTAATCTTTAAAGAGCCTATAAAATATACATGTCACAATTTAAGTTTTTTTAAATTTGAGATTCTTGTGTTTATTGGTGTGTAGAGTATTTAGTTGTATTTGATATAAATAATTCCTCTGTGTAATATTGCTGCCTTAATGTAGCAAGTATTTATAAATGCCTATATTAGCCACATAGACTATATATTAATTAGCCTCTATTGTATCAAGAGTCTACATTTTAACCTCTTCCTGAAATGAATAACAATCACACTATTTTCATAACTGTCTATTCAGAAGTAAGCCCCATTGATTTCTGTGGTGATTGTTTTCAGGTACATGAGCATAAGATTGTAGCCATAGTAGGGCAATAGGAAATTAATATTCTTCAATGCAGAAAATTTACAAGTACGAGACTAAGTGTTTTATTTGCAATATTTATTATTGAGATTTGTGCTAGCAGTAGCTCTGGACAAACTTTAGCCTTATAAGGGGTTGCTGACTGAGTTTTTCTAAGTAATGTCAAAGTGTTCTATCAGAGTAATTTACATTGGAGAAGAATGTCATGGCAAATGGAGGAGGACATTTTAATCATTTTAATGGTGTTGCATGTAGAGTTAATGACTCCCATTTGAGACTCCATTTGGAAAAAAATCGTATACATTCTGTTAGTTGTCTTTCTGATTTAATGTTGAATTCCCATATGTTGCCAAATATAATAAGCTGTAGGTCTTGAGTGTATTTACTCAAATAGCCAGGAAGTTTTACTTCAACATTTTTTAAAGGCTTCTCAGTTTAAATTGTATTTTTAACCACTAAATTCAAGGAGTTACAGCTAGTCATTCTTTACCTGATTCTAGAAAAAAATGAAAGATTGATGGTAGTATTCATCCTATGCTCTGGGAGATCTAAGGGTTAGCGGGAATCTTATTTCTGGTTTCTCACTGGTTGCATTTGGGCATCACACTTGACCATGACATGAGTGAGCAACGGCCTCAGGTTCCCATGCCCTCTTTTCTATTCTGGTACAGCTATGAAGAAGAGTCTGCAAGCTTTCAGGACTGTTTTTGCTTAACCCCAACTTGCCATGTCATCTGAACAGCAAACTATTATTCATGTTAACTGTACCAGCCATTCTGAAACCATGATTTGAATGCTTTTCAAAATCAAACCAGAATGAGCTACGTATTTGGGTTTCTTCACCCTGAGCAATACCTTCACTTTTTCACAGGTACTTAGGTTTATTAGGTTTAACCTACAATTATTAGGTTGTCTGTTGCTCAGAAGTTATGATGAAACAGCTTCACAGTAACTTTTCATTTAATTGTAATATTTGTATATCATAAAGATAAGTGTCTTAGTCTTTGTTTTTGTTAGGGAAATAGATGATCTTTAGTAGCTTTTTTCAGAAAAGTAAATAGATGGTCCTCCACAATGTAATATCAGCATCCCAAAATATTGAAATTATATTTGAAATTACACATTCATATATTATGCCCACTCCATTATTCTACTACATCACCTGAACTGCTCAGCTTTTGCTGCAGATGTCATACAGCAGAGAGCAGATGGTGTCCATTCCTTTAGTTTTATGTCATCTGCCTCTGATCATTTTAAAATACAGGATACTTTGTATGCGTAACTGAACAAGGCCTATGAAAATGGGATTAGTCTGGTGGCTAAGAGCTGTGAACCAGCTCAAATCTCACATGAAGTCACTAGGTAGCTTTAGGCAAGCCAGTGTTCTGTCAGCTTCCCACCTGCAATATGGGGGCAATAATACTGACTTATCTTGCAGGATTCCTGTAAAACAGTGGTGAGGAACCTTGCTGCACTGCAGCTTCTGTTAGTCTGATCCGGCATAGGCAATGATGAGTTATGATGGGAGTTGTAGTCCAGCAACATCTGGAGTGCTCTAGTATGTTGTAGGTAAACATATGGGCCAACTGGAGTAAAACAGAGAAAAAAGAAGCTTGATAACTAAATCCCAGGATCCCCCACCCCCACTTGTCTGTCCTCCAAGTGCCTCTTGCACCCAGCCCAGTCCCAAAACTGAGCAAAATAAATTGCCTTCCTAGTGCCACCACCACTACTTTTTTGTCTTGCTTTGCTTGTGCATGAAAGGAGCAGAACTTTATCCATGCTCTTTACTCCTTTTCTTCCTCTAGAGACAGCATAGGACACCATGTATATGGCCTTCTGTGGCCATTATGAGTGGCACCCCACGCAAACAGTAAACAGGGACAATAAAAGAACAGGGAAGAAGGGGTGGTAAAGAATGCATCCATTGTCCAAACACTGTTTCTCGCAGATGACAAACATTTCCTAGGACCAATCTGTTCTCTCAGTTTTGCTGTAATTCTTTCTGGGGCTGCATGGAACAAATCATTTCACTTTTTGCCACTCTGAGTGTGTAGGTATGGCAATACTGAGTGCTAGCAGAAGATTTCTTCTTTTCTTTTGAGAGTGAGCAAGAAAAAAAAGGAAGAAAGTGTGTATGAACAAGTGTGAGTGCAGGTGTTGAGGTTTTTACTTTTTGCCACACAGCTGCAGAGACCAGATGGGAAATAGTGATAGCCAGCAGGTATTTCAGTGTTTTAGTTCTATTTTGAGGAGAATGAGGGTCCTAGGAGACCCGTACTATCATTTAGGGCTGGTTTTGGAGATTTATGTGGTGCATATGTAAAGATTTTGCATACTCACATCCTCCTGCCCCTGCTCACTTTTGGCTAAGCCAATCCTCCTTACTTGTTAGTAGTTAGGACTAAGCTGGAATTTTGTATCACATCGCTTTTCACTGTTATTTCTAAGCAGGCGTTGACAGGAGAACTTGTGGAGGGGATGGTGATTGTTGAATGCCATGCAATGTCTTGAGGGTACAGCAGGACATTGTGGGCTCCAGGCAGTGCATTCTGATGGTCTTCTGTGGGTCAGCGGTGTCACCCATTCCTCTGCTTTACTCCTGGTGTCACTTTCCCTTTTCTGTGTTGCTGCTGTGCTCAAAAACTAGGAGTGTAAAGGAATGTTTTAGTGTGTGTCCTACTAATATCAGATTCAAAATCTCCCTTGCTATCATGATCTCTGTTTCCCCTTATGCCATGCATTCCTTCTGAATTTAAAGTCCTGCTTCTCTATATTGCATTGTACAGGTTCTCCATGTACTGTGCATACTCCCTGTGTGCAGACTTACTGACTTGCAGACATTATCTTGCAGTGGATAGGACTCGGTTTTCCTTTCTGCAATGGGTTACTGTTTCTTTTTTTAAATGTGAAGCGTTGCTGCTGCTTTAGCAAAAATGAGTGCATCAGTGCTTTACTATGTTGTTGCAAACCACTAGATGTGCCTCATTCTGCTTTTCTTGATCTCACCCCCCACTTCACCAGTTACAGTGGGCACCAGCAATTACTGACAAGATGAGTTAAACAATACCTGTTAAACAAGCAATCTGCACTTGCTGCCATAGCCACTACCTGCCAAGGAACTGTATTCTGAAATTTCTTCCAAGTTTCAGGTAGAATTTTTTGGACCATTTTTCCCAAGTTGCTTTCCCATAAGCATCTTTCAGCATCTCTAGAAATTTCATTAGAGAGTCAATGCAGTGGTACCATGGTAACCTTTAATAAATGTCATGACACTATTTCCTTAACAAATGCATGCCATGATTTTTTTTCTTTCATTGTAGTACAATACATTCAGTCAGTGAGCTCAACCGAACTGGGGCTTCACCCATAATGATTTAAGATGTTGTTTCTGTCTCTTGTCAAAAGAGCAGTCCAAAAGGAATTATGAGATGCATTGGGTTCGATTATGATGTAGTGGCCAGGTATACATTTTCATAAAGAACTGACCTTTATTTAACAATATCACAGTTTCATAAATTATGATTACCATTCCTCCTTTAAGAATACCTCATCTCAGTTACAAATATCCCATATTCAAAGCTTCTCACACTTTTTCTGGATTCTTCATTTATTTTTAGGTGGCAGAAGGTGTGAACAGTGTACTGTTAGGTGTACTGTTAACTTTTGTCCCATAAAAACTCCGTCAGAGTTATTCATGTATGATCGTGCCTTAATATGACAAAAAACAGTAACTTTAAAGACTCTTTAGTTAAGTCAACATTTAAGGGTTGCTTTAAAGAACTTAACAAGAACTGACCCAGGTTAGTAATTGTTTGTAGTTTCATAAACCATGAGAACTAATGTTGGTGCTAAATTCTTCCTTTCTTCTTCTTGTGCAGTGTCTCCAGCATGAAGTTCTTTGTTTTACCTTAGTATTTCTTGTTACAGCCCAACCAGGGAACTCTGGTTTAATGCTAGTTAACAAGCTTAGAAAATAAACCAGAATGTGATTCTGGTTTCTTTTCTTGGTTTATTTACTGAAATTAAGCCAGAATTCCAAGTTTGGATAAGCAAGGTACACTGACTTAATAGAAGCTAGGTTCTTTGTAACACTAAGGTCAAGGAGATGAAAGGGAAGGCCGCTTGGCCTTAACACTTGTTCACTCTTTCAAACCATTATCCAAACCAGAATGTCAAAAAAGTATCCTTACTCTTCCCTTTCATCACTTCCCCCACCTCCATTCCTGCTTTTATACTTGAATGTGCTCAAGATATTTGAAATAATGCCCTCACGTTGCCTTACAAATATAGTATGATATGACCCAGTTCATAAAGTAGTGCAGGTAGAGGCTTCTGCCTTAACATAGTTTGCAAATCAGAAGACAAGCAAGAGAAAGGAGGGAAGGAAGTGTGTGTGAAAAGCAACCTGAGGCTGGTTTTCATTTTGTACCAGACTGTAGTCTCAATTGTAAAAACATATCACATCCCAACTGCTGTGCAAGCTGTTCTTGGGGGCCCAGTGGAAAAATGGTGGATTGGTTTTTTGTAGGCATTACCACTCAGCTGCAGCTTAGTAGCAAAGGGGGTCTCCTGGTGCTTGCAAAAACAGGAAACTTTGACTTCAGAAAGCAAAAGTCAGAAACTGTTAACCACAGAAAGTTTAGGGCTGTTTGAAGAGGAAAGATGAAGAACATGGAGAGAATTCCAGTGCATATTGGAAGTTTTAGCAAGAATCTGCCATTTTTCTCCATCATTACTTCGTGATGGAGGCCAACACACAAGCTTATTTCTTCGCTTTGAGCATAAATAAATACTTCCATTGTCATGGATCAATAAATGAATGGTGTGAGTCTGCCTGCTTCCCAACTGAATCTAATGTGCCACTGTAGGATGTTTGTAAAGGATAGCCTTATGGATTAGAGAAGACTGGAAAAATGGTGCATAAATACCCAAATATTTTTTTTCTTACATCAAAGGGGCAAAATAGTTAATGTACATTGTGGTTTGTGGTTTCTGCCTGATTACTACTTGCTTTCACAGAATTAGTCTATGGTGTCTTAGTAGTCTGATGCCATTACTGGGTTATTTATTATAGTATTTTTGTTTTATTTCCCAGTGCAGCCATTCAAGACAATTACAGTACTTCACCTTAGTTATTTATTTCATTTTTAATACCAGCCAATAGCCAACACTCTCTGGGCAGTAAAGAAAACATATATTACTTAAGAAAACATATATAACTACAATTATGAACTCACCCCGTCAGAGCCTGTTTCAATCATTGATAATTTTTTGTAAAAGCCTGGATAAAGTTAATTCTTCCCTTCTATCACCGTTCTGAACTGACTGAATTTAACACAGAGAAATGGCTTTCTTTTTGCTCATCATGAGTCAGGATAGGCATAAGTTGGCCTTCTTCTGAGAAAAATCTTCTGATATTGAATATATGTTTGAGCTTGAAGTATCCATTGTGGCAGCCACCAAACACTTGCCTGTTATTTCAGTCAGATGTCTAATAAATACATCAGCGAGTTTGCATCTCAGAAAGTAAAATTCATTTGTGTGGACGGTGACCTCTCTTTCCTCCTTTGGGGGATAATGCTGCTCTTTCATTTGGTACCACATCTGGGTGAATGGTTAGATGTTTAAAATCTCAAGTGAGTATATTCGCTAAAATGTTCATTTTGACCCAGTTGTATTTGCCAAGTAAACTTTATTGAATGACATTCATGAATTCATTGGTTCAAAGCTAATAGCAACATAATTTGTTTCCAGAAAGAATAAAACAGGGAGTTCTTGGGTAAGAATAGATATAATTCTGTGTAATGGCAAAAATGTTTCATATTTCAGATGCATTACAAACTCATCACTGAGTTTCTGAATGGAACAGTCTCTGGCCCCTCCTAATAAACTGTGTATCTGTTTTACACTTGCAATCTTCTAATTGTAAATTGTGAGTCATGCCTGGCTCAGTTTTTTGCCTAATTATACAAGCAGCTTTGACAAATGATATCCTGATTCCTACTGGCCAGCTTTACTGACCTTGTCATTATTACTAATGGTAAGCTGTAGCTGCTTCAAGGAAAATAAGCAGCTCCAAGTTTTAGGCAGCTGAATTTATTTAACCTGTTCTTTTTCTTTTCCTACCCCTTTTCCACCAGAGCAGCAAAAACTGGAGAGCAGCAGTTGACTTATGTGGAAGACTTCTGACTGCCCATGGTCAAGGCTATGGTAAAAGTGGCATACCCACAAGTCATACAACAGACTCTCTACAGGTATGCTTGCCTTTCAGTCAGACAAAAGTTTGGTTGCAGTTTTGTGGATAGGTATAAATATCCATCAGTTACATTCACATTTTCCTGCATTCCAGAATCACACTTCAAAGCAGGATGAATAATTTGTTTCGCTTCAAGGATCCTGTTGAAAATGTAACACAAGCTAGGTGCCTGCAGCTAATGTATATATTCTTTGTACATAACTTGCATCAGTAGTGTAGATACCAGTCTAGCATTAAGAAACAGATCCTATCTGATTGGTTTAATAATCTGACAAGATGGGATTGCTTGTTCCCTGTGTATCATTCTTAAAGCCTTCCTTCATTTGTTTATATACTCAAGTTTAATCTTGCAGATGCTAGCACAGGAACAGAAAACTTTATTTTCCCTAAAGCAGATGTGAGATTTGTAATGGATCACAGGTTAATGGACTTCATTTTGATTCTGGAGATGAATATGTATTACTTTGCCTTTTCTAGCCTGGAAAAGTATAGTCTGATATTAATAAGCGTACAAATTTTGTGCCTAGATGGTTAATTTAAGAAGAGCATTTGTGTTACAGATGTTTCAGGAGTGCTGTGATGATAGTTTATAAAGACATTCCTTTAAAAGCAGCTGCAGTCTTTAAGTTTTAAATATTACTGATGCATACAAGTCATCATTTCTACACAGTACTCTATAGCCATGTGCTATTTTGAGCCTTGGCTAATGAGGTGGGATATAAATCCAACAACAGCAACAATAACAACAACAATATAATATAGGAGCCAAAAATAAAGTCAGAATTAGTTAAAGACACAACTACTTCCAGAATGTGAGGGCTTTAAAAAAAATCCCAGTTCAATAGATGCCTGTTTTATGGCTATTTGTGAACATGCTTTTATCAGCCTTTTATTTGTCATACCTAAGAGATTAAAAAACTGATAGCAAAGTTTATTGTGCTTTTTAAGGTTCTGACACGTTTAATTTTTTTCAACTTTCTAGCTGTGGTTTGTAAGATTAGCACTCTTGGTGAAATTGGGCCATTTCCAAAATGCTGAAATGGAATTTGAACCATTTGGGAATCTAGACCAGCCTGATCTGTACTATGAATATTACCCACATGTATATCCAGGACGGAAAGGTAAATTTGTTCATATTCTTTTTTTTAAATTACTGTTAATATTAATCATGTTGGGCAAAATGCAACCAACATCCGCAGCATTTAGGTGATTTCAATGGAAGATTTAAGAATGTGCTTAAATTTTTCACTGACAACAGTGAAACTTGCAAGTACAAGCTGAATGAATAGTTGAAAGAAACCCAAGTTATCACCATTTAAGACAACTTTCTAGATAAAGTCCTGCCTTCTTGAAGTTCTCATTTCACTTCCAGGTGACCTACAGTTGTTAAAAGTTCAGCACAGAGACAAGTATGAAGGATTATTTATTTATTATACCACCCAGTGGCTGAAGCATTTTGAGTTCTGCATTTCAGGCCCATTTGTTTCAGAAGCATTGCAGTGCAGGTATTCCTGACAATGCAATTGCTTCTCTGTAGACACGCATCAATAAATACCATGCAGTACTGTTGTATTTATAATGGTCTTCTGTACTACACACCAGTTTGTAATGATGCGGCTGGAAGAAATGGGTTGCTTCCAAAACCAGATCAACAGGATTTTACAAGTTTTACAATATGATTTCATGTCACTTGATGCTGTATACTGCTGTCATTATATGAGAAGTGGGTGGAGTGAAAGATAATCTGTACCGCACCAGAGCCTTTAAAAAAACATTGCTTAACATAGGTGCAGTGGTGTGTATGACTTCATTTGATAGGATTTGTATTTTACAACACCACGGCATCCTTTTGCTTTGTGCCATGTCCAAATGCAAAGGTATCCTTCCTTTGTCCCACTACTCAGGGGAGCTGTTGTAGCTGTAGCTTCCACAGTTTCTTTCGTCAGCCTTTCATCTTCATCATGCATTCCTCACTTAGAGGTTCAGAGCTATTTTGACTTTTTACACTCTTTGGTCATCTTTGCTGATGCTGGATAGCAAGAGAAACTATTAATTCTGAAGGTGTTTTTTCCCCTCTCCTCATCTCAAAGTCTGCCTTATGTTCCCCTCTCTCCATCCTCCAAAAATCAATTATTCAATCCCCACTTCAAATCAGCATGAAAGCCGATACACCTCTCATACTTCCCCAACTGTCATGTCACAAGCACATCTTCTTATCTTGTGGGCAGCCCACTTACCTGGGAATAAGCATTGTTGAAGTCAATGTGAGTTGCTTCTGTAGAAATGGGTATGTTTGCATTGTCAGCATTCTGAGAAAAGGTAATGAAAAAGAGTATAACTGGGAAAATTTAAAAAGATGTTGCAAACTTTATTTCCTTCATAACACTGATTTCACCACCCATATGACTGAGCACCAAAAGAAGAAAGAGGGAGGTATGGTGGGAAGCCCTTCTGAAGGAAGCAGGAAACTTGACAAGTCTGATCAAGCACTGTCCTCGATTCCTCACATGTATTAGAGGCTCCCTAAAAGGAAAAGCTGCTACTGATAGTCCCTCTTCTTTTCAAAACCATTGCTATTTTTCTCTTAATTTTTGTGACCACAAAGATATCTTTGTGTGCTGGAGTATTTTTTAAGTGAGGTCATAGAAGAATAATGCAGTTATTCACAGCTGTGCAAAGCTGTGTAGCTGTGCTTTGAAAAATACCATTTGAAAAATTAAATGACTGACCAGCCATTATCAACGAGTCTGGGTATTAGTGACCAGTAAATGAAAGACAAGTCCCTATTTTCTCCATACAGAGTCACTTCCCCCCACCTAAGGTGGCACTGAGGAAGAAATATTGTCAAACTGGCTCTCCAGAATGAAGCCACTCCCAGACATAGGCAGGATTGTGCTGTGCAGCTTTTTTACAACAAAATCACCATTATGGAATCATGTTCGCCATTACCGGGAGTCTATACCTGCCATCTACCAAGAGGAACTTCATTTGCTTGAGAAAACCATTCTGGCCACTGGTTCCATTGACTGAAGAAGAAAATGACAATACTTTTTTTTCTCTCTCTGTCTCCTTTTTTTAATATTGTGTCTGTGAGTTTATGAATTTGTAGGCTATTTTCCATTTTACTTTTAATCTCTGTAGAGTCCTTTGAAAATTATACATGTTAAGAATAATTCTTCATTTGATTCTTAAAATTTACTACATATCGTGTAAAGGTAAAGATTCCCCTGCACATACATTGTAATCGTGTCCAACTCTGGGGCCAGTGCTCACTTCTGTTTGTAAACCCAAGAGCCGGCGTTGTCTGAAGACACTTCCATGGTCATGTGGCCAGCATGACTGAACACCAAGGCACACAGAACACTGTTACCTTTCCCACCAAAGTGGTACCTATTTATCTACTTGTATTTGCATGCTTTTGAATTGTTAGGTAGGCAGGAGGTGAGGCAAAGCAGCGGGAGCTCACCCTGTCACGCGGATTTAAGCTGCCTACCTTCCAGTTAACAGCCCAATGGCTCAACCGTTTAACCCACTGCACCACCTGTGTCCCTACAAATTCACAAGGAATCATAGAGTCGTAGAATACTAGCATTGGAAGGAGCCATGAAGGCCATCAGTTCCAACCCCCTGCTGTTGCAGGACACCAGTTTATACCACCCCACATATTAACCATATTCTGCTTTCCTTAACTATGGTCCAGCATCTGCATATATAAACCATGGTTAAGGATTGGCTGCAAACCATTTTGTGAAAACATGGCTCCCACTGAATTTGCAAATTACGTTTAACATTAACTGTGGCTGTGTGCTGTTATAAGCCGCCCCGAGGCTTTTGGCGAATGGGGCGGCATAGAAATGGTTTAAATAAATAAATAAATAAATAAATAAATATGTCTGCTCTCCCGGTTTAAAGGATCTTGGTTACACTACCTCTGCTGATAAAATGACGAGCAAGTGTTGCTGGTGATTTTGTGTACTTACATATCCTAAACTATGCCTTCACTATTTGTCTCAGATCTTAAAAAATAACTAAGTAGTATGTTTATTAGTCATCAAAAGAGCATTGCAGATTCCTAACCAGTACTAAATCATTAAGTTTTATATTTCGTTATTAACAATAGTTCAGTGTTATGTCTACAGTGTAAAACACATTGAATTGTGCTTTAAATTTTTAAAAAACTAGAATCAGTGAATGAGCAGACATAATCAGAGAGCTTATTTGTCTGCCCACTCTCTGGTTTCTTAACTGCTAGGACTTAACAACTTGAACTTTTGTCAGATCAGAAAGTCAGATAGTGCAGGGATCCAGCTGATCCTCCTACCCCAAAGACTGCTGATGTACCAGATGTTCAATTCTTTTTTTTATGAACAAAGGCCACATCATTATTCCTGGTGGCCTTGGAGAAAGAAAGTACACAGTTCAGAGTTTGCCTTGAAATAAACTGTATTGAAAAAGAAGGCAGAATCTGTGTCATTAAGCAGCTAATCTTAATGGTAAAATCAATATAAATCATACATGTATTTTAGCTACTGTGCAATAACCATCATCCATGATAATATGCTGATAGCTGCTAATTTTTCCTCTTCATTTTTGGTGGTACAAGCATAACTGTAAAATGTTTGATTTATTTATCTAATTTTGATTCACAATAGTTAAACGAATTAGGCAATTAAAATGCACTTTGCAATCAAATGTGTCAAGATACAAATAAATAATGATTATGAAAGCGGTTGAAAATATATTACATTTAATTCATGTGTGTAATCTAGATCAATTCAAAATAGTCATTGAATTAAGTGGAATGCATTTAATTTTAGAACAGCTTATGAGTTTCAGGCTAGAAATGTTGTATATTTCCATGGATGTCTCTAACCTTTCTCATACTATTTCATCTTTTGCAACTAGATTAAATGTTTTACCTTCTATTCCAAAATAACATCTTCCTCTTACGCGCTTTCTCTGCATGAATCTCAGTCGCCCAATTAAACCATCATTTTCTGATACACTGAGTGTGCTTCACTTCGCTCTGTATAACTTTCTTCACTGTGAATCTAGAAACTCCCTTTTTCTTGCAGCTCCTTTTATTAATTAAAATAAAGCTGAATGAATTTATTCTTTAAGCATGCCATGATGTATATAATCCATAGGTCTGGCTTCTAGGGAAACTTGCCTGCCTGCAGATGACAGCTTCAAAGTGTGTAGGCCATGTCTCCACTAAAGCTTAGCTGCTTAAACTTAGTTCAGACAGTCACAGCAACAAGACTAGTTCAAGTGCAGACCCTACCTGATCCAGTGGAAAAGACGTTGTGCCATGCACCAGCTAAGGGGAAGAAAAAGCATGAATGAACCTTCGACTCTCAGCAATTGTGGTTGTCCTGTGTGATGACTGCATGGCTGTCTGCTTCATTATGAGCCGGCATGCTGGGAAACCTCAATTGGGTCTTGTTGACTTGCATTTTGAATTCCACTCAGCTCACCATGAGGCTCCTCTTTATTGCGTTTTTCAGATGAGGGTTTCAGGTATAATTTTTGTTCATTTTGCTTGAAACGCTCAAGCTCAGTTTTAGTAGAAAGCTGCTGTTCGGTATCTGTTCTGCAAAAGGTAATTTCAGTAGTAAGTGAACTTTTAGGAACTTATTTTCCTGAAGTTCTTTTGTTCTTTGGTAATCACTCATTCTTTGGAATTGAGTTGGTTTAATGGTTTGACTGAAGGAAAAGAGAACAACCTACCCAGCATCCCTCTTTCCCTATGTCAGGGAGCTGTTTTTTGCTGAGTGCGTGTCTTCAGGATTTTAAATGCACAAAGAGGGGCATATTCCACGTGATCACTCATTAAAGGTGTGACATATAGCCTGGCCTTTTGAAATCAGAGCTCTATTTGCTTTTCTGAACCCTCACATTTAAAATAAGCTGTAGTTGCACAACACGTGGGAGAAAGGGAAGGGGGGCAGGGGAAACATTGTTGGCTTCTGAGCTCTTATTCTGACAAGCAAGTATCCCTTCGTTTGGACCCGGAAATCCAGTATATATTACCTGTTGATTCCTTTCTTAAAAGGCAATTAAGTCAGGAAGATTTAATCACTTTACCAAAATGAGGGATTCTGCGGATGGAAACAGTAGG